TTATAAGAGGCTCTAAATGCAAATGCAGACGACTTATTTTGTTGTCCTGCTTACTGAAAAAAAAAGAATTTGAGCGTGTCACAAGGTAGACCCTTTAAAGGGAGCTTTGAAAAAACGAAATTTGAGAATAAAGAAAACATTTTATTCTGACAGGAGTAAGCATTACTCCATTGTGCAAAATACACTTTGAAACGAGATGCAAATTCACTTTTTTGAGAAATTTCCTTTTGCCCGCTCTCAATTCTAAATGGATTATCAGCTTCAAAGCTCTACTTTTCTCTTTTTTCTTTAGAACATATGGGTTTCACTACAGTTGCATTGAATTGTACAGACCGGAAGGAGTTTGGTATAATACTACCTAAATTTCCGTATTTACCCTGCTTATGTAGGTGGAGAAACATACTTGTGCCAGACAGTCCCACGAGGTCGCATCTGAATAAATAGGCTTGCAACAATGCTTTTTTATCTTTTGGAGGGAAAATTATAGTGAGGTCAAATGCCTGTTATTCCTTGATTTTTCTTAATATACAGAATAAGATACTGTGAAACTTATCAAAGTATCTCGAACAGAAATATCAATGAATATGGAGGAGCCAACTGTTTTTTAAAAATAATTCTCAAGACGAAATTTAGATGACGTCAATCTTCTAGAAGAGAATTGCAGTTAATGTACATAATTGCGACTTTAATTGAGAAAATGAACCTCTTTTCCCTTGCAGGAAACGCTCCCCATTGAACTTTCCTATCGACGAACATGAACTTCAGGGAGCTGTTTACCAACCAGTTTTTGTTAGATGCACCTGTTTGAATACCGAACAGTGCGTACCTAATAGGAATCCTCTAGAAGTATGTTTAAGTTCTAATTGTACTTATTCTATTCTCTTTAACTTTTACCAATAACTATCTCTGGTTTAGGTAAACGCCTCAGTATGTATGTGCTTCGAAGATGTCACTAAAGGAATTATCTGGCCATGTTACCCTACCAGTGTGTGGACTGTTAAGGTATTTTCCTAAACCAATAAATAGGCAAGCTCAAGCTAATTTTTTGTTTGTTTTAGAAATGTTCCCGTTGCTCAGCTATCTCTAATACTTGCTCTGATCCTAACCACCACAATGGCACTGTCCAACAGGGATCCACGCAGCCTTGCCTATGTCAAAGTATCTCACATCATTGTATGGTACATCCAAAGGTGGGATTTTTAAACAAAAAGTATTATTTGATTCTACTCGGAATCAGCTCGAAGTTTATTTTGGTATGGGAGTTGAGCGCAAAAATCACAAATTTCTAAATTTGCTTTCTTTATCACG